AAACAGCTCACTAGAAAAATGGAAACTAAATATTCAAGGGGCAAAATGGACGAAATGAGGGACAAAAAGCTATAAGATACACAGAATGCAAAGAGCCAAATAGCAGAAGTCTTTTCTTGTCAGCAGTTACTTTAAATATAAATGTACTAAACTCTCCAGTCAAAACGTAGAGATTGACAAAATGGATAAAATAACACGATTCAACTATCTGCTGTCTACAAGAGACTCACTTTAGATCCAAAGACATAAACAAATGGAAAGTTAAAGGATGGAGAAAGATGTTTCATACGAATAGTAACCAAAGGACAGCAGGGGTGGATATACTAATATAAGACAAAAGAGATTTTATTTTAAAAATGGTTAAAAGAGACAAAGAAGGACATTATATATTGATAAAAAGGCCAATTCATCAAGAAGATATAAAAACTACAAACATACATGCACCACCAATAGAGACCCAGAATACATGAAGCAAATATTGACAGACTTGTAGAGAGAAATAGGTAGCTCTACAGTAATAGTTGGAGAATTCAGTATACCATTTTCTTTTTTTTTTTTAAAGATTTTATTTATTTATTTGTGAGAGAGAATGAGAGAGAGAGAACATGAGAAGGGGAGGGTCAGAGAGAGAAGCAGACTCCCCGCTGAGCAGGGAGCCTGACGTGGGACTCAATCCCGGAACTCCAGGATCACGACCTGAGCCGAAGGCAGTCGCTTAACCAACTGAGCCACCCAGGCGCCCCAGTATACCATTTTCAATAATAAATAAAACACCTAGGCAGAAAATCTATAAGGAAACATAAGAAATGGACAACACTATAAATCAGTTAGACCTTACAGAGAAATATAGAACACTCAACCCAATGATAGCAGAATATACATTATTCTCAAGTGCACGTGAAACATCCTCCGGAATAGATCATATGTTAGGTTACAAAATATGTCTGAAAATGTAAAAATATTGAAATTACACAAAGTATCTTTTCAACCAACAGTGGAATGAAGCTCCAAATCAATAATAGAGGGAAAACTGGATAATTCAAAATATATGGAAATTAAACAACTAATGGGCCAAAGAATAAATCACAAAGGAAATTAGAAAATACTTAGCAACAAATGAAAAGAAATACACAGTATACCATATCATAATTTACTGGATGTACCACACCAGTGCTCACAGATAAATTTATTTTTTTATTTTTTATTTTTTTAAATGGCAGTTTTTTTTTAAGATTTTATTTATTTATTTGACAGAGAGAGACACAGTGAGAGAGGGAACACAAGCAGGGGGAGTGGGAGAGGGAGAAGCAGGCTTCCCACAGAGCAGAGAGCCCGATGTGGGGCTTGATCCCAGGACCCTGGGATCATGACCTGAGCCAAAGGCAGACGCTTAACGACTGAGCCACCCAGGCGCCCCGCTCAGAGAGAAATTTATACTACATTAAAAAAAGAAAAAAGATCTTAAATCACCTTATGATGATTTCTAGACATTCTGTAGAAATAGAAACAAAACAAAACCCAAAGCTAACAGAAGGAAGGAAATGAAAAGATTAGAATAGAGAAAAATAAAACTGGAATAGAAAAACAAAGGAGTATCAACAAAAGTAAAAGTTGGTTATTTAAGAAAATCAACAAAGCGACAAACCTTTATCTAGAGTGACAAAGAAAAAAGAAGATCCAAATAACTAAATCAGATATGAAAGTGAAGGCATTACTACTGATTTTAGAGAAATAGAAAGGATTATAAAAAATACTATAAACAACTTACACCAACAAATTAGATAACCTAGATGAAATGCACAAATTTCTAGAAACACACAAATGATCTAAACTGACTCAAGATGAAATAGAAAATCTCAACAGACATGTAACAAGTAAAAAGTTTGAATCAGTAATCAAAAACCTCCCGACAAAGAAAAGTCCAAGACCAAATCATTTCACTGGTGAATTTTACTAAACACGTAAAGAAGAATTAACACCAATCCTTCTCAAATCCTTCCAAAAAATTGAAAAGGAAGGAACACTTCGTAACTCATTCTATGAGGCCACATTACACTAATACCAATGCAAGACAAAGACTGCAAGAAGACTACAGATCAACATCTCTTTTGCATATGGATGCAACTTAATAAAATTCTAGTGAACCCAATTCAATAGAACATTAAGAAGATTATACATCATGACCAAGTGGGATTTATCCCAGCAATGCAAGAGTGGTTCAACATGGGAAAATCAATCAATGTAATACACCACACTAATAGAGCAAAGGATAAAAAGCACGTGATCATCTCAATAGATGCAGAAAAGGCATTTGACAAGATCTAATACCCATTTATGATAAAAAACAAACAAACTCAAGAAACAAGGAATAGAAATGAACTTCCTCAAAATGATAGGGGCATTTATGAAAACTGCAGAGCTAACATTATACTCAATAGTGAAAGACTGAAAGAGTTCCCTCTAAAGTTGGGAACAAGATAAAGGTGCCCATTTTCACCAATGGCATTCAACACTGAAGTAGAAGTGCTAGCCAGAGCCATGAGATAAGAAATAGAAATAAAAGGAATTGAAACTGGAAATGAAGAAGGTAACTATTCCGTTTTACACGATTACATGATTCTATATCTGAAAATTCCAAGGAATCCACAATCAAACTAATAGAGTTAATAAACAAATTGAGCAAAGCTACAAGATACAAGATCAACACACAAAAATCAGTTGTGTTTCTATTTGTGTGCAATCAACAATCCATAAATGAAGAAAGCAATTCCATTTAAATAGTGTCTAAAATAATAAAATATTTAGAAATAAATTTAAACAAAGAAGTGAAAGACTAAAAATTACAAAAATTTGTAAAAGAAACTAAAGAAGACCTAAATTAATGGAAAGAAATCCTTAGTTCATGGGGAGGAGGACCGTATTGTTAAAATGTCAGTCACACCTAAAACAACCTATAGATTCAACACAATCTTTCTTACAAAATTCCAATTGGCCTTTTTTCTTAAGAAATGGAAAACCCAACCTTCAACTTCCTACAGAATTGCAAGGATCCCTGGATAACCCGAACTAATCATGAAAAAGAAGAAAAGAACTGGAGGACTGTGATTTCCACAACAAAGCTACAGCAGTCGAAACAGTGTGGTACTGGCAAATCAACAGACTGGTAGGCTAATGGAATAGAATTGAGA